TACATGGTATATTCCACAGCAGAAAGAGCTGAATTTATCGAAATATTTTTCGGAAACAATCAGTGCGCTAATAGAACAGCAGAAATATTTAATGAGCGACATGAGAACAGTAAGGTGCATCGAAAATATGTTCTAGCACTTGTAGCTAAACTTCGGGAAACTGGGTCAGTCGCCAATAAAAAACGCAACATTTAAAATCCCATAAGGAACGAAGCAATAGAAGTGTGGGTTTTAGGTTAAGTTTATGTAGATCCTACGTTAAGTACCCGCAAATTGGAGACTGTGTGGTGTTACTCGACGTACTGTCCAACGGATTCTAAAGGCCCATAGTTTTCATCCGTATAAAATTCAATTGGTACAAGAACTTAATGAAAACGATTTTGATCGGCGATTACAATTTTGTGAAGATATGAGTGAACCAATCGATGAACATTTTCTATTCAACACTTGTTTTTCCGACGAATGTTCCTTTTTCTTAAATGGCGTAGTAAATCGTCATAACTGCCGATATTGGTCTGATTCTAATTCCAGAATTCATCATGAGGTTCATACAAAGCAGCCACAAAAATTAAATGTTTGGGCTGGTATTTTTGGCGATCATTTAGGTGGTCCATAGATCCTGCGGTAACAGCCATAATTGAAAATCAGAATGATCGGCGGTTCATTGCGAATAGGTTGGTGTTCCAACAGGATGGTGCCCCACCACATTACACATTACGTGTTCGACAATATTTAAATCAGACGTTTCCAGATCGATGGATTGGTAGAAGAGATGCTATTGAATGGCCCCCAAGATCGCCAGATTTATCACCTTTGGATTTCTTTATGTGGGGTCATTTAAAAAGCAAAATGTATGCTACTCAGCAAACATCATTAGAAGACCTGCGACAAAGAATTGTGAATGAGTGCGTTCAAATTACTCCTCAAATACTGCAAAATGTGCGGCAACGTTTTGAGCAAAATCGTTATTAATGCATGGAGAGTCATGGCGGCCATTTTCAACATTTACTTGCCTACCGGGTCAGTTCATTCTTCACTTTTAAATTACTTTGCTGCTTGTATTGATCTCCACTAATGATGATGTATTAGCTTTATTTAAGCTTTAAATCAATAAATCTTCAAAATCACTGAACTGAAGTACATTAATTTTATATCATTATAAAGGGAATTGAAAGACCTTTAAAGTAAGGTATCACTCGACCCATCTTTCCATTTAGGATTTTGGGGGTGGTGTCACGCCCGCTTAGGGGGCTGCACGTGCTAACATGATTTTTTGCCAAACTTGTGTCCCCCTCGAAAACAATATCGACGGATCTGAGCGTTTTTCCAAAAAAAAAACTGAGCTGCCAATAAATGCGTCTGTTTCGTTTACGATGCGCCACCCTGTATATATATATATATATATAGTAGAAAAAACCGGAACGGTGAACTATCTCAGCAATAGTCAAATATAAATGAGCCAAATTTTTGTGCAAAGGGGTAAATCAAGATGAAGAATTCCAAAATTATATTTGCAAGGTTGCCAGGTTTATAGCTTTCTCTATAGGTTAGGGAAGTTTAAAATTTTAAATGGATCACCCTAATTTTTTATGTTGTTATCAATTGCCTGTATCAAATTTATTATGACCTGTTCGATTTTTTACTCCTGTCAATTTCGAGGATATGGCATCATGCTTCTTTCGAAATGAATACAAAACCGACAATGTATCGTCAGTTATCTCGAAAACGATCCAACTAAAATTCGTCAAAATTAGTCAGGGGAGTATCTAGACAAATTCATGAATTGCATTTGCCAGTTTTCTAAGATTCTATTTAAAAAAAGTCAAGAATAGGGAATAAGGAAATTTAATTATCAAACAAGTGAATATTATTGCAAAATAATAACACTATTAGGAAATAAGAAAATACCTATCTACTTACTCTGGTGCTCAAAATGGCTACCATCGTTGGCTAAGCAATATCTGAGGCGATCGTAAAATTCTGCCACAGTATTCGATAACATGTCTGGAGTAATTTGTGCGGCTTCATCCAAAATCTTTTGCCTTAGTTCTTCTAAATCGTTGGGCCAATCTTTATAAACACTGCAATTCAGAAAACCCCAAAAGAATAAATCTAGTGGAGTTATATCTGGGGAGCGAGGTGGCTATACCACTCTGTAGCGCCACGTCTTCCAATCAATCTTCCAGGAAATTGGTTATTTAAAACCTTGATTACCCCTTGAGAAATGAGCTGGAGCTCCATCATGCTGATACCAAATTTCGTCCATATTTTCTATAAATTTCTAAGTTCGGATATTATGCGTTGTTCAAGGAGATCAAGATATTTTTGTCCCGTCAAATTGCCATCTATGAAAAATGGCCAATGACATGGTTACCCAAAATTCCCGCCCGTCAACGTCAACTGTTTCCAAGTATTGAGTGTGAAGTTCCGACATCCAGTGAGGATTTTATCTACTCCAGAATGTGCAGTTGTGCCGATTCACTTGTTCATTTAAACAGAACGCAAATTTTTTTTGTGGAAACTGGGGTTGTTGCTTATCATTTCCATCATAGTTTCTGTAAACTGAGTTCGACGATCTGGATCATCTTCTTGCAGTTGGTGGACGTAAATTATTTTGTAAGGTTTGAGTTTTTCAGCAGCCAAGATATTTCTGACTTATTCGCGAATTAAGGGCTGATTTTTCTAGGGTTTTCTTCGAGTTGTAAAAGTACATTTAACTTATTCTCATCACAAGTAGCAGTTTCGGTCTCCCTGATCCAGGTTTTTTTTTCACTCCGCCGGTTTCAAGAAAGTTTCTTACTGTCCCGTAGATGGTAGATTTTTTAATTTGTTTTTAGTAACAGAGCGCGTTGAACAAATCGCACACTTCTTTATAAGGTCTTTGTTTATCTCCATATCCTTTAAAAATAAGAATTCCAATTCGCTGTTTTTCGTTAATTACAAATGCTGTAATAACGCCCGCAATATTTGTCACCTTTGATTTTTTTTGACATTTATAATTGTTATGGTTCTGAAGTCTCCATGACATTACAAACAAATGAATAGCACGCCTTCTTGTTTATTTTGGAAAACAAACAAACGGATGATTTCTTACTAAGATGCAAGTGTAATTAATGAAACAAACCCTGATGCCATATCTCCGAAATTGACAGAAGTAAAAAAACGATAATATCAAGTCATTATAAAATTGATATGGCCAATTACTTCCAATAATAAAAATTAGGGTATCCTATTTAAAATTTTAAATTTCCCTAACCTAGAGAGAAAACTATAAAATTGGCAACCTTGTAAATATAAATGTTTAATTCTTCATGTTAACTTAACCCTTTGCACAAAACATGGTTCATTTAACCCTGTATAATAAAAAAAATATTCTAGCGTTCTATGCATTATTCGAGACTACGAAGACGTCGAAACATTTAACTTTATTATCGATAATTTTTCAAATAAAGCCAAGAACAAGTTGTTGCGGCGGATAAAAGGATAAATAAGCAGACGTAATTATCAGCCATTGTTAGCCAATATCCACATTATCTCAGAATAACCACAATAATCAAATTAACCCCCTTTCTGCTTATACCAATATTGTTATTTATCCATCATGATGTATACATACACTAATACAGGGTGTTCAAGGAAAATAGATACTCTAACTCCGTAAGCTTATAAAGCCGGGAGATAAAGCATCGGGAAATACGAATCGCAATTACATCGACACTGTACCTTGTGTGCCGCAAGTTTAAAAGCAAACGGTAACAGTGTCGTCAGTATATGAGTTATGGTCAGTGTTGTCAGTTCTACTGAATTTTCAGTAGATCTACTGATTTGTAAATTGATCTACTGATCTACTGAAACATTTTTGTAAACTACTGAAAAAATTATGATGCCTAATTAATGTTATTATTATTGTTAATTTTTAATTCATAACCTACACCTTGCGGAATATTGTCGAAGAATCAGATTAAATACGTCATGAATCATGACCCTACATAAATTCAAAGCATCTTAGCGCTTGATATTATGTTGGTAATACTTTACAGCCCAGACTACTGATGTAAATATTCGGAATATTTTGCTAACCGGTTTGACGGAAACGGATGAATAGAATATTCGGATGAATCTTCCATGGATGAATCATCCGTAATAATAATACGAATCATGGCATCATCCATAACAGCAGTGGTTTTTTGCGACCTGGCAACACGGACCGTATGCCTACATCACTGGACCAGACCACGGCCACGGGGAATCACCGGTATTAATGCGTAAACGACTACGGGGACCGGGATTTCCCAGCTCTGCGCGACAACGCGAGGGTTTTGGTTTTTTCTTTGTTTTCACCTTCACAATTCGGTTTGATCTCGTATCCAGTGGTTTTGTTGAATATTTTATTTTTTATCCTTTCGTATAAGCGCACGTTAAAACATGAGGTAAGTTCACTTTTATCAGTTAATATTGAATTCTAAAGATGTAATGTATTATGTTTTTAGTTCAAGTGAGTACCATAACTCTGAAAATGAAGGGGCTGGTCCCTCAAAGAAAAAAAAATTAAATATAATCAAGTATTTAAGAAAAGCTGGACCGAAGAGGAACATTTTAAAAAGTGGATCAAACAGGAAAAAGATGAATACTTTGCTATGTGCCGCGTGTGCAATAAAGATATTTCTATTAAAAATACCGGCAGATTAGCACTAGTTCGGCATCAGGATAGTGCGATGCACATTAAACTATGCAAATCTCTGAAAAAGCAGGGAACATTAACACATTAACAAATATGGCGGTTTTTAAAGGAGGCCCAAATCAGGAAACCATATTAAAAACGGCAGACTTACATCTTGCAGCTTTTGTCACTGAGCACAATTTGTCATATAATGTGATGGAGCATTTACCTGCACTAATAACCAAACTGGCGCCTGATTCAGATATAGCAAAGAAAATTAAATGTAGTCGGACTAAATGCTCTTGTGTTATTAAGAATGTTATTGGCAAGAGGCATAAGGAGGAAATCTGTGAAATTTTAACTAGGAATAAATTTTCATTAATTATTGATGAATCCACAGACCGTTCATGCACAAAACATTTGTGTCTTGTTTGTAGATACCGTCATAATAATACGTAAGTTCATAATATGATAATATATAAATTTTTAAGATATAAAACTATTTTTTTCTTCTAGAATCCAAGACAGTTTCCTTGCATTACTGCCAATCAAAGAAGCTAGAGCTGAAGATCTGTATAAAGAAATTACCAACTTTTTTAGCCTGAAGAAAATACCGTATCAACGAAATCTAATTGAATTCGCATCTGATGGGGCAAACGTTATGGTTGGAAAACACAATTCAGTAGTATCTAGGTTAAACGTAGATATACCAAATGTTTATGTTGTTAAGTGTATTTGTCACAGCTTTCATCTATGTGCGTCATATGCTTGTTTTAAATCACCTAAGGGGATTGATGATTTGGCCCGTGAAATATATACTTATTTCTCAAATAGTCCAAAAAGAGTCGAAACTTTTAAAGAATTTCAAACTTTTGCCCAAACACGAACACATAAAATGTTACATCCGGCCCAGACAAGATGGCTATCTTTAGAAGCTGTAGTCTCTAGAATTTTAGAGCAATATAATGCCTTAATTTTATTTTTTGCTGATGTCACTGTAACTGATCGAACTTTAACACCAGAAAATATACTAACAAAGTTGAATGATGGCTTCACAAAATTGTATTTTCAATTTTTAGAATTTTCTTTCTCCTTTCTTAACACTCTTAATAGGCAAATGCAATGTGAAAAACCGGCTATCCAAGATTTATACAAATCTATAAGTACTGTTTATACATCTTTTTTAGAATGTTTTATAAAAAGGGAAGTACTCATACAGTCCCCACCTTATCAAATTGATTTCAAAGATCCTAATAATTTTCTTCCCTTAGAAAAATTGTATTTAGGAGCCAAACTTCGAGTCTCAATTGAGTCATTGGGTGACTCCGACAAATCTACTTTTAGGAAAAGAAGCCTAGAGTTTTATGTAGAGGCCGCCAACCAAATAAATCAAAGGTTTGACTTCAATGACCCCATTCTAATTAATATGGATTAAATAGGCGTAAAAAATATTTTGGACAAGAAAGCTGACAGTATCATGCCACTTATGAAACATTTTCCAAACATGGTTTCGGAGAATGAATTTCAACTGGTAGATAATGAATGGCGATTACTTCGAAATACGGATTTAAATTTCAGTTGTGATGCAGATGTAGAAACATTCTGGTCAAAAATTGAAAGTATGCGCTACGGCGACGGAACTTCCATGTTTCCTGTTTTAGGTAGATTTTTTTTCAATTTGTTAATTTTACCACATTCACCGGCAAATGTAGAAAGAGTTTTTTCTGCGGTAAATCTAATGAAAACTAATCAAAGAAATAAACTTTCAACTATAAGTATTGTGGGACATCTACACACAAACAATTACTTATAGTTAACGCCAAACAAAGTGGCGTGCACGTCATCAAGGTGGGTGTGTTGAAAAATTTACATTGTTGCCAAACTTTTTGTAAAATAATAAAATTTATTATTTACATATCTAGGTTTATAAGCAATATTAACCTCAAATGAGAACAAAAATAATAGTATAATAAAATTATAGATCTGTACTTGCATAATCATTAAGTATGACAATTATTGATCAGATGACACTATGAAACTACCATATTTAATTGATAGCTTAAAGGTACTGAATAAAAATCCAAATGGGGTCCTCCAAATTTTATGCATGGTATTTATTTTACAGAATTCATACAGAAAAATGCATTCTAAAATTAGGTAAGCTACTGGTGTAAGCTTTTTCTGTACAATAAAGTTAGTCGGAGTTTCTTTCTTCAGCGCTGTCTGAATCTGAATCTTCATCACTCTCAAAGTTGATTATTAAAGGTTCGATGTCTGGTCGATCAAAAATTCGTTCTCTTTCATACCATTTAAAAATTTCTTGCTCAGTATGTCGAACACTATTTTTCCACATGTCTGGGGTAACCGTTTGTAGAGCCTCGTTCCACATATCCAAACAGTCTTTTTCACTGCTACCATCTCTACCAATATGTCTGTTATAGTAACCTTTTGCTATGCCCCAAATTAACTCAATAGGGTTAAATATACAATGGTAAGGAGGCAGACGAAGAACTTTGTGCCCATGTTGTTCCGCCAATTCATCAATCACGTATATTTTAGGTGCTTTGTTTCTAAAAAAGCAGTTATTTTAAGAATAGGAATAAACAAAAGAAATATAAACTGTCGACCAAAATATATATAATTAAGAAGCATTATGTACCGAGCAACAATACTCAATAGCTCTGTTTTAAACATTGTGTTTAAAAATGGTATGTTTTGATTTGTCAACCAGTCTTGGATATTTTTTTTTGTCCATGCATTGTTGGGCACTTTGTTCAATATCATGCTGTGATAAGGGGCGTTATCCAGTATAATCATAGATGGACTCTCCAATTTTTCTAATAACTGATGTTGAAACCATTACAAAAAATTGTCCTGGTTCATCTCTCCATGGTAATCGCTCAATTTTGTTTTCGAAGAAAATATCGCTTCACTACCCTCAATAAACCCATTTTCATTTCCAGCATGTAATATAATGTATCTAAAATATATTAGTTTTAAATTTTATAGTGCAAATTGTGTAAAAGTACATACCTTTTACCATCTGTTTTAATAGCTTTCCCGCTTTTTTGGTTTCCATTTTGCCAAGAGCGACCTATGGTCCCATTTTGAAATATCCAAGTTTCATCGAGGAAGACAAACTGGTATAAGGCCTCAACCTTGGCTTGATTGTATTGCCTTAGAAATTCCACCCTTTTCAAAGCTATACTTGGTAGTTCCATGAGCCCTCGTCGCGGATTGTCCTTAAGCCACTTAAATCCAAGATCTCTAAGCAACCGCCTTAAAGACGTGGCACTACCATCAAATAATGCCCTATCTCTTAATCGAGACCATAAAGTTTGTATCGTAACTTGTTCTTCTGAAACCATGTGTAATATGACATTATAATTTAGTTAACAAATTAATGCAAATTTCTGATAAGTTATTATAATAAGATCTTACTTTTGTGATACATATTATAGATCACTTCTCGAATGGCACTTGTATCCAATGTCGCTGTGTTGGTTACACGTTTAATATAACTCCGCTTTTTCTTGGGCGATTCTAAATTTGCATCACTTTTCACACCCTCGGAAATACGACTAACTGTCCTTAAACTAATTTTTAAAGCAGCAGCAACACGCTACAAAAAATGAAATAAAATTTCACTATTATTAATATACATTACATATAATTATTAGTAACCTACCTCTTGAACAGCATTTAAGGCAACAAAGGCCCGTTGTTGTCCCTTTCTTGCTCAAAGTAGTGCATTAACGAGGCCACGAGTTCCTTACACCGACTATTTAACTGTTTGGGCATCTTTATATACCAAAATTGCCTTTATCTACTCGTAAAATGAATAATTTTGTTTTGAAACAAACAGTTGTTGATTTACAGTATGCGGGGCCAAAGGATTTATAAAGATTTGAAATGCCACAAATTGATTCAGTGTCAAAATTAATACAAATGTCAGTTCCCAGTTTAAATAAGTTTCAAGGTGACAATGTGTCAACGCTGCGAAATCGGTTTAGTGCGTTTACATGTCGATAAGTGATTGGAGCGTTTGCAAAACATTTTATTTCGCATAATGCGTCTAAATTTATCAGAAAGCAACTTATGTGATATTTTAATAACAATGTTTATATGACTATTAACCATAATAAGAGAGTAATGACCATTTTACAATTTATATATCACATTAATATGAAACTGCAATAGAGCAATTGTTTGTGATAGAAACCTAGGCATTAGGTCGGGGAATTTTTATCGTGATGACGTGCACGCCACTTTGTTTGGCGTTGACTATAGGCCCGTATCGTCAGTCGTCCCTACAATTGTAGGGCGCGTTTATGGCCTCCTTGATTGTCATACTCCTTTCTCTCCTTCAAAAATTTCTACATTACACTTGTCCCGTGTCAGCGTCAGCGCTCTCCTATTGCGAAGATATGTTTACTTTTTAAATTGTAGGACATTTCAGGCTGATAAATCATGATATAACTCAAAAGCAAACACAATTTGATACAAATAGATGTTTGTGACAGGGACGACTGACGATACGGGCCTTAAAGTCTAGAAAAGTAAATTGTACAAACGTTACATTTACAAAAGAAGTAATAAATTTGCATAATAATGATATGTATAAACCAAAAAAGTACAATACTTTATCAGATTCCGAATAAGTTCTATTTTTCATATAAGTACCTCTAGTTTCTTACATTTAATTTTTTTACTTGTTTTGTATTTTGGAGTTGTTTATTATTTTTAGTATTTCTACTGCTGTTTTTTATGTACTCGTATCTGATGAGTATATCCTATCCTTTGTGATAAGTTTTTTTAAATTGAGAATCAGGTATAAGTTAAAAATTTTGTTTTGTGTACATATTCCTATATGTTGTTAAGCACACAAATTTTCTTTATTTATAAAAAATACATATTTTTTCGAGTTCATAGGTCTTTTTTATTACCCTTTCCTAAAATTTGCATAAAATATATATCTACTCTACTGAATTTTTGGCAACCCATTTTACCGATGAAATGAATATCAAACTGGCAACACTGGTTATGGTGGTTGTGGTAGGCAGGATGGATTTATCTGCAGCAGAAGCAAGTTTTATTGTGGAACATTATTTTCGATTGAGTTCGTTCAAGATCGTGCGGGAACGGTTTCAGGAGTTCGGTGATCAACGAAGCTTGCACAACAAAACGATAAAGCGAGTCGTCGACCGTTTTCAGAATGAACGTACACTGGTGAGACGAAAGGGGAGTGGCCGTCAGCGCAGTGTAAAAACGCCAGAAACGATCGAAGTGGTGCGGCAAGCAGTTACAGCTAACCCTCGCCTCTAGGTGCGAAAATTGGCTCGCATGCATGAAATGTCTGTTGGCAGTGTACACAGTACTCTTCGTGGATTGAAGCTGTATCCCTGTCGAATTGAGCTACGACAAGAATTGAAACCTCCAGACTACGCACGTCGGACACAATTTTGTCACTGGTTTGATTCTTTTGTGCGCCAAGGTATGGCTCAGTTGGATACGGTCTTCTTCTTTGATGACGCTTGGGTGCATTTAGACGGTTATGTAAATGCACAGAATTACCGTTCATGGGGAAGTGAAAATCCTCATGCCTATGTGGAAAGAGGGTTACACGGTCAGAAGATTGGGATATGGTGCGCTGTGAAAACCTGAAACTGAAACCATCACTCCGGAGCGATATCAACAAATCGTCGATTGTTTATTGCGTCTTTGAAGCCGGAGGAGCGTTATTGCTGGGTTCAGCAGGAATGGGCCACAGCTCACACCGCTGGTTCGACAATGAATTCCTTAACAGAATATTTTGGAGGCCACATTATTTGGCCAACATTGTGGCCACCACGTAGCCCTGATTTGTCTCCTCCAGATTTTTGTTTATGGGGCTACATCAAAGACAGGGTTTTCCAGAACCCACCCACCTCAATCCCAACCCTACGAGCGCGTATTCCAGAGGCTATTATCGCAATAACAGCAGCAGTTTTACATGAAATGTTCCGCAATATGTAGAGAAGGCCTGTCTCTAGCGGATGGTGGACACTTCGAGCGTATGCTTTAGGTGTTATCTTCTTGTTTCGTATCCATATTTTAAGTATTTTTTGTGTCCTTTTATAATAGATTGTGCGAGTTTGTAGTCAGAGTATCTATTTTTCTTGAACCCCTGTATTTGTCTGATTAGCTAACATGATATTAACTAAATACCTACTAACATCGGAATGATATTTATAGCAGTATAATGATAATCACGAAAGAAACAATTTTCGTTGGTTTCATCCCTGATCATTACCCTGCACCAGTTCTTTCTAACTATTCTATGTTTTGATATAAGTTAGTATGTAATTATGGGGCTGATATACCTGTATCTGTACACCTAGGTTTTGTACCGTATTTGTAAGTCAAATGCCTGAATCATTTTTCACCTATTTTCGTAAATACGGGCCAAGTAATACTTGTGCTCGCGAGGCGGGCTCATCGCTTAGTGGTGACGGAGGTAGCTAGTGTAAAGTGACGTCCCGTGACACGCTCCAGCAAAATAGTTCTCCAAATAAGAAGCATCTGGGTAGCGTAACTTAGTCATCCTTCAGAATATTAAAAAAAACTTCAGTGCTTCACTTAGACACTGTTGAGTATACTTGAACCGAAGATCATATTAATATTTTTCTAACTGACTGGTAGACCATAAGTTTTTCACTTGCATATTTTTTCTTATGCTTCATCATTAGATCCCAAAAGCACAGCGAGGGTGTCACGTGTCTAGTATATTCAGAAAATATATGTTAACATGATAGGTTGTCGCTTTGAGGGGGGGGAGCGACATATTCCACTTCACTGAGTTTTTTTACCATGCTGGATTTGGTACTGCTCCTTAAGCTAATGAAAAGAAAAAGAAAAAATCGAGGGTCTCATTCAAATGATCGTTCTGTTGATAGAGGAAAGGTGCTCACCTGAGTTCGGTATCCAGTGGCGCGCCGTTTCTCTTCGCTTGCGAGTTACTTTTTGATTTTCTCCTGGGGCTGACGGTTGGTTGCCTAACGTCATTATTGCCGTTGGAGTCTGACAGCTGATGATGAGGGGAGGGGGTTGCCAAACTGGCTACGACGGATGATATGCTGAAAAGAAGCAATGACATCCGTTTTCAGTATTGAGATTTTTATCTTAAAATACAAAGGGTTTATCATATCAGACAAGCAAAGGTATAATAATACTTAATCATACAGGGTGTGTGCCAGGTTCCGGAACTCCATATGATTTGAGAACTAAAAATGACAAACAAAGTAAGCCGCACCATTTATAGGAGATTTTACCAGTTATTCAATAGTGACCTTCAACAGGAAAGGCCAACTCGATTTTTTCAAATAGAACCCGACATTTTTGAATACTAAGGCCCGTATATCCAATAGTGTTGGATCTGACCTTTATTATGATTACCTTCAAGGTCATGTAAAGGCCAAGACGATTTTTGTAACCAGAAAACAATCCTGAACCAACAGTGAAGTCAGTTTATCTGTAGATTACACATTTTTGATTATTACAAATTTAAGGCAAACTTGTGTTTGTCCTTGATAGTCAAGTCTAAGGTCAAATTACAAAAATGGCCAAGAACATACTCGAACATAAAATTTTCTCTGTCCTTCATTTCCGTGACCAAAGTGTAGGGTCCCATTAGAAAAAGTTGACCTTCAAATGACATTGAGCGTCATGGCCAAGGTCAGATACAAAGTCACCTTTGGATATCCGAGGGAAAATCATGGCGAAGCTGTCTCGGTAGCTACCCAATATGACTAGTGGCTTTCAAGTTATATCACCGTACTTGAGCTTCAATTAGACACCAACCTCTTAGGGTCAAAATTTCAGAATCGTCAAGACCATATTTGAACGTAAAATTACCTACTCACTTCATTTACGGAGTCTAAAATTAAAAACAATCGAATCATATGACCTTGAAGGCCATGTCATGGTCAAGGTCAAATGCAAGGTCAACACTGGGTTGTTTAGGAAAGCTCCTATCACTGGCGAAGTTTCGTTTTTAGTACCATTATTAGTTCACCAATAATCATGAGGTTCCGGAATTTTCTAGACACCCTCCATATAGGGTGCCAAGTGGGCCAAGCAACACGAAAATGGGAACGTTGTTAAATTCAAAGTATGTGTGCACTGAAGTTAGGTCTCTGTCGTAAAGCAAAATAACTTTCTGGGTATAATGATTCACACTTTACCGCTCGGTTACAGATGAAATTATAATTATACAGGGTGTCCTACAAGATTCAGCCTCTCTTTACTCAGGTCTTGGAAAAATTAGCAGTTTTCGCTAGTAACATATACTCTAAAGTCTTAAGATTGCCGAAGTCTTTGGCTCCGTAAAATCAATCAAACCCAAACAAGACTCCAGGAGCTAGCTGCATTGGTAAACAAAACTTTTATAGATCGGTTCTGGAAAAAAACAAAACGAAATTGGCACTCTCATACAGCAATATCGGAGTTCGCCATATTGTTTTAGTTTGTCGGCGATTCGTCTTCGGAATGCTACCGAGGCTTCCGGAGTGCATGAGGATCGGTTTTCAAGATCTTTCCGATTTCTTTTCGTTCGTTTGGGGGAAACCAAATGTTTAGCTTATGAAACTGAGGTGGAAGCGGTGGACGAATTACGTGTGCAAAAGCAATCTTCTGTGTGCATTCCCTGACGCTAGGCTACGCCGAACATATGCATGTGTATTTGGATCTATTGGAGTCAAGTTTGAACAATACTTACAAGTGACAGGGCTATATTTGAAATTTTCTTTCTACAGGGTGTTTCAGTTTATTGTTGCATAACTTTAAGATTCGATAGAACTTTTAAAATTAATGCATAAAGTTTATATAAACATGGGTCGAAAAATGCGTGGCTTCCGAAATACAGGGGTGTTTAAATTATTTTCTAAAATAGATTTCTTTCAATTATTTCCAACAATATTTAATGTATAACAGTGAAAATTGCTATACAAGGGTTTTCTGGTACGACAAAACGAACCATGGGCATAGTTTTACTGTAGCCGCTAGAGGGCTCTCTCTACTGTACCTGTAGTGCATAAAAATGACCGAAAATTTTTTCTTAGTGCAATTTTTTGCTTTTTGAATAAAAAAACTGATTATTCGTACTTTTCAACATAAAAAAGCTCTCCCGTGAGTTTTCGTTATAGTTAGAGATATTTCGATTTTTAAGGTTCGATGCATTTTTAATTATTTATGGGAAAATAATATTTTTTTTTACATTTTCGAGTTGGGCATTACAAGTAATAAAGATAATCGTTTAGATTGTGTTTTTAAACACAGCAATAATTCCTAACTCCAAATAAACACAAAAAAACAGAATATTAATTTGTTTAATTTTCCAATATTATTTTTAACAAACTCGATTAATTATTTACAACTAAAATGCTATTGGATAGTTAGGACAAATTTACAAAATCTAAAGTAGTTGCTCGAAATGTAAACCCAATTGTTCAATACACAATTCACATCTACGAATGATCGAACGTGGTATAGCATTATTCAAATATGGCCTTACCTCATCACATGCATTCCTGATTCTGTCCATTAGCATATCTCTTTTGGTTACGGGAGTCTGTTACACTTTTTCTTTTAGAAATCCCCACACAAAGAAATGTAATGGATTTAGGTCAGGGGATCGTGGAGGCCAGGCGACTGGTCCTCCACGGCCGATCCATCTTTCTGGATAATTTTCATCCAGCCAGTTTCTAACTATTCGCGAATAATGATCTGGACAACCATCAAGCTGGAACCAGGCCAATCGTCTTAAATCTAACATAACATCATTCCACATACTTGCATGTTCAGAATTCAAAAATTCCAAGAAGGTCGCAGCATTTAACCTTGCAGGCAAAAGGTAGGGTCCAAAGTTGATTACAGTAGATACCAATCCACACGTTCACACTGAATTCATGCTGAAAATTTCTTTCCCGAACTGCATGCGGATTTTCATGTGACCAAATATGTTGATTACGAAAATTTACCACTCCACGTCTAGTGAAGCATGACTCATCGGTTCATAAAACGTTACTTAAAAACTCCCTATTATTATCAGTTCTATCAAGAATCCACTGACAAAATGTGATTCTTCGTTCTCCGTCCCCTGGCTGTAGGTTACAAATGGTAAGGACGTCTATGGTCATTTCTAAGAACACGATGAACATGGCTTGCTGAAATTCCCAAGGCACCAGAAACTCTCCTAACACTTGTGGTCGGATCTCTATCAAACTCACGCAGAATCATACGGGTAAATCTGCGCTGACGAACATTTATGTTTTGTTCCCATTGGAGATTTCCAAAACCAGTTTCAATTATTTGGCGATGCACTCTTACAAATACTGAGCGAGTTGGATGTCGTCTGTTTGGAAATCTTCGTGCGTATTCTCTGGCTGCTTCTGCTGCGTTTCCATTTACAAAGCCATACACAAAATGAATATACGCTAACTCTTGATTGGAGAATGAAAATGGCATTTTTATAAAACTTACAAAAAAAAAAGGTAAAAGAAACTAAATTTCGTGCATTCACAATTGCAAAAAAAGTTTTAGGTTTCAACAGACATGAAAACTAACTGTCGACTAATTGACGCTTAACCTTATTCTGCTTTCATTTTCAAAAATATTTGCAGGCTCAGCCTACTTCTAAAAATTATCGAGATACTGACTTTTTAACGTTATTTTATCATAAATAATTAAAAATGCGTCGAACCTTAAAAATCGAAATATCTCAAAAACGGCTAACTAACGAGCTTTTTTATGTTGAAAAGTGCGAAGAATAATGTTTTTTATTCAAAAAGCAAAAAATTGCACTAAGAAAAAATTTTTAATACACTACAGATACAGTAAAGAGCTCCCTCTAGCGGCTACTGTAAAACTATGCCCATGGTTCATTTTGTCGTACCAAAAAACCCTTGTATACCAATTTTCACTCTTATACATCAAATATTGTTCGAAATATTTAAAAAAAAACTATTTTAGAAAGTAAATTTGAACACCCTGTATTTCGGAAGCCACGCATTTTTCGACCCATGTTTATATAGACTTTATGTATTAATTTTAAAAGTTATATCGAATCTTAAAGTTATGCAACAATAAACTGAAACACCCTGCATAAACGGTGAGTAATTTTTTAATTGTTTTTTACTGTGTTGTTTGTTTCACAATATATTAACTCCGTTATTACAAACTTAATTGTTTCTAAAAATGAAAGCCCCAACCTTCAGGATACCGTGTATAATTGATACAATCCAAAAATGAAGTTCTTAAAGAAAACCTAGATTTTTGATAAAGGTGTCATTGAGGGATGTCGACCCAGTGCAGGTTTATTCTAACTAATTGCACCCCATGAGATGACTATGAATCACCTTTTATTTGGTACATTATAAATTAGCATACTAACCACTAATCCGACGTTTAATCAAAAGTTATACAGCAAATTGTAATCAAATTTGTACCTCTCGATGAGGGGTCATTTGATACGCCCTCATGAGTACAATATCTCTGGAAAACGGGTAATTACATTTTTTTCTAAAACTGCCTGTTCTTTTTGAGATTTAGCTTATAACCCATTTAAGGCGATCGTAGCGGCAGTTTGACGTTCAACATAAGCCAGAGAAACGAATTTCTATGCAGAATAGGAAATTCCCAGATACCGGCGATACTGACGTTGCTGCCACATTTCGTAAACGGTTTCCTTATCGTTCCAGGAACTTTCCCTACCTGACCCAATTCCGAAAATATAAATTCTAGTCGGAATACCGATACATAAAACGACTAAAAAAGGCTTTTTGAGGAGGACGGCTACGCTACTATAAATTTACTTTGGACACCTGAGATATACGACTTGCGCAAAAAAATTTAATATAACCAGATACCTAATATGAGCTTCCTATAAAAGGGGTTTATATATGGCGGATTATGAGTGGTGCCGTTTACCGAGGACTTGGTTCGAGCGATCCGCTATATTTCATGCTAGATGTTTCTAGTACAAGAATAGATGGCGGGAGGGTAAGTCCTCCCAGTACGGTTTTTACTCTAATGGCGGCACATATATCACGAAAATGAAAGACCTCTCCATAAAAGTGTC